GGTCTGCACTTCACTGACAGACACTTGAGGCCCAGGACTTCCCTAAGGTCACATAGCATCAGCAACAAAAGTGAGACTTGAACCGTCTCCCACCTGTTAGTCAGTGCTTATTTGGTTTTAACTGTTCTGTATTGCTTCTAGCTGATTGGGAGATGTTTGCTTCTTAACCAGTTAGTGACCTGACTTCCTCCTAACAGAAAGCTGCCGTGTGGGAGATCACAGGAGCTGAATTCTCCAAATCTGAGGCTCACACAGCTGATGGGATCTCCATCCGATTCCCTCGCTGCACCCGAATCCGTCATGATAAGGATTGGAAATCTGCCACTAACCTCCCCAAGCTCAAGGTGCCAGCTGCATATATGTCCTCTGCCCCACTGTCCCAACTTTGGAATGTTGGGCATCTGGCCCATTCACATGTCCTCTGTCTTCTCCTTTACCCCATTCCACTGAGAAGGCAGTCAGAAAGGGAGACCAAACCGCTGATGGGCCAGAGCAGCAGCACAGGCATCAGGCCCCACTGAGCAGCCCTGGGTCCCAAAGAGCTTCTGCTCTCACAGCATCCTGCTGAGGACTTGGCCCCAGGCTATAGCCTCTATATTGTTGATAAGAACTAGGGAACAGAGAACAGTGATTTATACCAATTACTCAAGGAAACATAGCCAGAGTTGAGAAAAGCACCAAGGAAGCCAGCTTTTCTCTATTTGTCTTTCTTCCCTCTTTGTTCTCCAGCCACATGCGCCTAAAACATACCACACAGACCGCCTTTGAGGCCAGTGGCTGGGAAGGGAATAACCACCTGCTATTCTCCCAACCCCTCCTCAGGAACTGTACCAGCTATCCAAGGAGAGGGCAGACTTCACCGTGGTGGCTGGAGATGAGGGGAGCTCCACTACAGGGGGCAGCAGCGGAGAGAATGAGGGCACCTCAAAGCCTTCTGTGTCTCGCAAAACCAGAACCTCCCCCAAGCATCCTTCTGCCAGTGCCAAGAAGGCAGAAGGAAATCTGAGTAGCCCTAACAGCAAAGGTGGTAAGAAGGGAGGGGGCTGACGTGATGAAAAATGCATGTGAGGGCAAAGATCAAAGGACAGGGATCCAGTGTCCCATTCCAGCTTTCAAATCATCTGATTCTCTGTCCACCGCAGCTGACAGTGACTGCATTCCTGTTGTATGTCCAGCCATGGGCCACAGGCCATTCTGCTGGACACTCTCCATCTGCTCAGTAAACCTGACAGGACCCTGGGAGAACCCATCTGATCCAGAGATAAGCTACCTCTGAGCTCTCTCTTTTCTCACCCATGCACATAGCAGAGCAAGACCTGGCCCTCTCTTTGCTGCCCTGACTTCAGGAACCATTATCGGGTCCCTCTACCCTTTTCTCAGTTCTTATCCTCAACTCGTTCCTGCAGGCCACAAGCTGACTGCAAAGCCTTCTCCTGTGAAGGTGGGAGAGAAGCTGGTCACAAAGTCTTCTGTGAAAGTTGGGGTGAAGCGGAAGGCTCCTGATGAGACCCCATGCCAAGCAAAGGTGAGGGTTAAGAACAGCAGTGCACTAGGGGCCACTTTTGCCTAGGGCCTCATGTTCCCAACCCTTTGCACTTGAACTTTGAGAGATGAGCAAAGGTGTTTTGGGGACTAATGGCCAAACCCCTCTCCCTACCTGCAGCTGCTCCTCTGTCCTGGGCAGGGCCAGCAGTGCTGCTCTTCCACCCTGTGCCCTCTTGTTGCCTTGCAGAGGCGGCCAGCCAGCAAGCAGAGAGGAAGGAGAGCTGTGCCTACAGGCAGGAGATAGAACAGCCCAGCCTAGCCAAGGGAGGCTGCAGGGACATTAAAGGGGAGAAAGCCCACTCTGGGTATAAGAGTGCAGCGGTGTGAGTTTGTGCCAGCCAGCGAGGACCGGGAGAGGGCATGCACTGCCTTAGTGACTCTCCTCCCACCTGAGGAGCCTTTTCCCTTTTGTATTCCCTGGTCAGGGAATTATAGCTGCCAAGCACCTAGTGAGGCCAGTAACTAGGCTCAGTTCTGGGGGAGCTGATGGTCTAAAGGGCAGATAGAGAAATGTGATAACCATAGTGTGACTTCACCACCCCACACCCCCACCAGCCAAGAGCAAGCACTGAAGTCTGGCAGCTCAGGCCCTATTTCTAGGCCTCAGCAAACCTATAGTATTTTCCCATCTTTTCCTACCTGAAGCCCTTGAATCCATCCACAGTAATGAGCTGGGTTTCTGCTCCCCCACCCCTCACCCCCCACATCTAACTATTTATACACAGTGGACTACCTGAATGAGCAACATCACTGAGAGCCAGTGGCCCATCCCACCAGCCACCGGATGGTTCTCAGATGGTTCTCGGAGACGTGCTTTTTCCTTATCCAGGTTCCTAACGTTGGGACCTGTCCCCTCTCCATCCTTTTTAGGCAGGAATGGAGGGGAGTGTCAGCCCTATGTAATCTGAAGTGGCTGGATAATGGGGGATTTTGATACCTGTGCCTTTTTCAGTAAATTCTGACTCATGTCCTGACCTCTAGGCTCCCTGTTTCTGGCTTTTTCTAACCTTATTCTCTGACCTGTGCTCATCTGGGTGGAGACACATCTGCTGCCAGCACAGGACCAGCCCCACTTCTGACCCCACCCTGACCTCTGTGCATTTGCAGGTGCTACTAGACATCTTCACTGGGGTGCGGCTCTACCTGCCGCCCTCCACACCAGACTTCAGCCGTCTCAGACGCTACTTCGTGGCATTCAATGGGGACTTGGTACAGGAATTTGACATGGCCTCAGCTACACATGTGCTGGGTAGCAGGGACAAGAACCTTGAGGCCCAACAGGTCTCCTCCGAGTGGATTTGGGCATGTATCCGGAAACGGAGACTGGTAGCTCCCTGCTAGGACTGCTGCCTACCCTTCCCTACCATGGGTTCTGGCTGGGGCAGAACAGGATGGGGACAGACTTTCTTCTCCAAGCAATGTGTCTTCCAAAACCCACCAACCATGCATGGTCTCTCCCCAGCCAGGAGTCAGGTGCTATGGGTGCCACCAGTGAAGAAACTGACTTCCGTTTCTCCTGCTGGTTTACATAGATCTTTCAGATCTGTGTGCTAGTTTTGTCTTTTTGTTCTTTAAAAAGCTTTTTTCCTTTAAAAAAAAAATAACACATCTTACAGTTATCTCTGTCCTTCCCCCCACTTCTACCCCGAGTAAAGTCAAGGCTGGGCTACTGAAGCTCTGTCCACGAAGCCAATCCCAGTGACAGTCTTCTTCTTCCTGCCTGCCTCCTTTTACTTCTAGGCTCATTTTAAAATTGTATTTCAGAGACTGCCCTCCCTCAGAAAAATGCTGCTTACATTTGGCAAAACTTGTATTCATCCCTTTTTCCCAGGAATGAAACCTCATTGGAAAGAAAATAAAATGAATTTTCTGACATGTCTGTGTTCTGTTCCAGGGTATGGGTCTGGTTTGAAGGGAGGGAATCACAATCAGGTAGGAAAATGGGGCCTTTATGAAGAAAACGAAAGTTGTTTGGGCTACTCCTCTGGGGGACAGAAGGCTCCAGGATGATCTGCCTCCTCAAATTCTAGAAACAAGGCTGTTCTTTAAGATAACCCACCTGAGGACAAATCTACACAACTTATTTACAAAGAATGGCTCCTATGCCACCCTGAGGCTAATTTATTATAAAAATAATTTAGTTTAGACAAGTGCTGTTCAATAGAACTTTTTGCAGCAATGGAAATAGCCTATAAATCTTCACTGGCCAATATGAACTAGCCACACTGGCCTTTGAGCACTTGAAATGTGGCAAACACAGCTAAGGAACTGAAGTTTTCATTGTAAGTCAACTTTAAATGATCACTTGTGGCTAGTAACCACCTCATCAGACAGTGCAGTTATACACACTGATGCAAATCTAAGCTGTGAGATGATTTAATAGCTACAACCTTACGCTATTTAATAGCTGAGCCTCTCTTCCTCCAAGAGGAATGGGGATAAGAATTGCACCTAAATTACAGGGTTGCTGTGAAAAAGTAAGTTACGTAAAACTCTCAGCACAGCCTGGCATGGAGTTAGGAACACCAACACTGCCATGCATGTTCAGACCCTACCCAGGAGAGAGGAGGCCTGGTCTCTGACCAGAACACCACAGGACCACTTCCATAGCCTCCTGGGTATGCGTGTGACAGCTCATACTCTGCAGGCTCATCAGGTGGCCATTTATACACTGGCTTCCATGTACTCAGGTCTGCCGACTCCTGAAGGTCAACTCTTTTTTCTTATCAACAAATTGGTAGGCTTGTTTGTCTACCCCATATAGGTTAGGTGAATGCGACTCAACCTTTGGAACATACCTGAGTGTCTCGGCCTGTAAGACTGAGAACCACTACCTACCCTCAGCCTTCCTCTGGTATGCTCAACTAAGATAATATACTCTGCTGGGAGGCTGTTTGCCAGTCAGCTTGAAGGCCAAACCCTGACCGACCTGGTTAAAATGTTGGGAGGAAAGGGTAGGAGAGGAAGGTACTGCCCTGTCTCTAGCCCAGGACATTGGGTGTTTTTGAATAGGCACCATTCAGTCTGGCTTCAGTATTGAGAATAAGACATTGTTTTTATTCTATCCTCTATGGAGACAAAAGCTGCTCCACTGAGCACTGACCTACATAAACTGCCATCCCTCTCTCCTGCCTCCTCAGACCAAGCAACTGGACAGGCAGGGCAGCAGAACAGGGCTCTCCCCTCAAGATTTGCCAAAGGATGCTGACCCAGCCTCACCTGCCCTTACTGGGTGCTTACACTCAAGGTGTGCCCCCACAGCACAGGAGCCTGCCAGCTGCAGGGGATCAGCTCAGTAAAGAGCTCAGCCCTTTGGCCCTCCCCTGCCTTGCTAAGTATTATCTTCAATTCACTGTTCAAGGTGTTTTGTCTATTTCCTTCCAGTCTTACTGACACGTGTTTTGTTGTTGTTGCTTTGTTTTTTGGGGTTTTTTTTGCTACTGAGCTTATACCAAATATTTTGTATCTTTTCGTGTTATTTCCACAGACCTTGAGCCTTTGTTTTATGTGGCTGCTTGGCAGCAGACAGAGGTCATCCTGGGTGCTAAACGGGCCAGCTGCCCAGAACAATGAGGACAAAGGGCTGTAGCTCAGCCCCCAGCCTTTATGCACTTTGGACAAGATTCCTTCTTCTTCTGTCCAGTCACAGGGCAGATCTGCACATAACTTAGCTCTCCCAAAGGCTGCATTCTCAGGAGTCCCCTCCCCTGGGTCCTGGTCAAGGGGTATGTACAGGCCTGTGCACACATAGCAGTCTACCCATAAGGCTTGGCCAACCTCCGAGCCATACTCCCAACTATCACAGCTGTATCCAGAAGCTACCATCTATCTACCAGGGTCACCTGAAGACTTTACTAGCCACACTGGCTGTTCTCAAACTCCTTTCTACCCATGTCTATAAGACCCATCTCCACCAAAAGTGTCAATGTCTGAACTCAATGCTTCTTCCTATTTGGTTTTAGGATTGACTGGTCTTTTTTTCTACTCAGCTCCCATCCTCTTCTAGGCTGTTCCATGACCTATCACATAATAGTTATGAGATCTTGAACACATCACAACACTAAGCTTCAATTTCATTTGTTGAACAGGGATATCTTGACTAAAGTCACATGGCCCAAGCATCTCCAAAAATAATGCAGTCTCTCAGGAGCATGCCTACACACACACACAGCCTGGGATTAGCCTGTGGTTTATCAACTCTCTTGTCAATAGTAACTATCAGATCTCTGGCATCCTCATACCAGATAGGACAGCCATCTATATGGAAACTTTATTACAAAATTAATTATAAGGCAGAGCTCTGTAACAAAAAAAAAAATACACATTTGGATTTAACACCCAAGTAAGTCAGAGAAAATATAAGTCACTTGAAGTAACACATTCACATCCAAAAGATTTCAATGAGTTTATACAATATATAGAGCACTAATTCCTGTACAGCTTATTTTATGAGTCTGGATCCAAGTAATCCAATGTATTATGAACCAGTCAGCTCTCTAAGTCTTTTAAAACAAGTCTCAACTGAAATTTCTGAACAATCATAGCAAAAGCCAGAATTGGAAGAATTAGATGTTTCCATAATTAAGATCAAGGCTCCAAGAGGGGTAAGAAGGAGCATTCAAGGATAAAAATCAATTGCTACCTAAGTTATATAGTAACTGAAATGGGATCTTGAAATTCCCAACTTTTATTTGGTGTAATAATAAAGGAAGATACAATTTTAAAAAATCAGGGTTGCTTAACACCTTTTTTCTTAAAACCTTCACCAAAAGACTTAAAGGCAAGTTCTCCAAAATGAGTAAATAACATCAGTTCTAATTCTTACTGAGGTTATTACTAACCAACCATTATTATTTTTAATTCAGTCTAGGAGGGAAATTGGGAGGTAGGGAGAGGTAAGGCCTCAGCAGAGAAAGCAAGTTTTAAGCAGAGAGAGAGCCAGCTTCTGCCCTGAAGTTATTTATTGCTAGATCTTAACTGAGCTGCATGTATACAGACCTGTTTCACAGTGGAACTGAGGAGTAGCTGAATCTTTTGCTAAAATGGTAGGCATTGTAAACTATAGTATGTACTGTCCAGCAGAAAAGATGTCTTCACAGAGAAATCATTTCTCCCAATTCTTACAAAGGCTATGGCTCAGAATCAACTCATCCAGGACTTGGTGTAATGTCAAGGTAAGTGGCCTAGTGTTTAGCTGACAACTACATTATTTCGTTCCCTCAAAAAGGGATTACTAGCTGATGGAGGAAAAGCATAAGTGTGTACTGATAAATAGGTGCCCTCAGAGGTTTCCCACTGATTTCCAGAGTCATGAGTGGTTCTAGTCTGAGATCTTGGCTGCATGGGGGAAGGCAGGGGGTGTCTGCTAAGGCCCTCAAGTGTTTAGTATTTGCATAGTTCATCCATTGGTAATGGCAGCACACACAGCTCTTCTGATAGCATGTATGTTTATGTTTGGCTAAGCTGTTCCCGGCACTTTTCTTTAGCCCTTTTGACTCTTCCAGTAGTTTAAGGACCCTAAGAAGGATCAAGAACATGACCTACTCATTGCATGGTCCTTCCTAAAGGGCCTAGAGAATGTTTCTTCCTTACTAGCCTCCAAATCAGTAGACTGAGAAAGGAAAGGGAGTAGGGAGTCCCCACCAACCTAGGGAATTAAGACTTCCAGCTGTCTGCTCAAGAGCTGAAACCAGGCTTATTCAGTACCTTCTGATACCTCTCAGGTGCTCTGTATCTTAACACATTTGATCTCCAGGAACTTCATGAGAAGTCTGACTAGAGAAGAGCAAGGCTCTTTCCTAAGTCTCTATGCCTTCAGCGAGGCTATGTTTAAAACCTCCAAGGCAAAGAGAAGAACTTCAGTCTCAGGGGAAAGTGATTTAAAACTCCTGTCTGTTGGAGAAGTCAAATTTAAGTAGAAAGCCATTGCTTCCACCCAACACTTTCCCTTTCCTCATAAAATAAAGGATGGCCCAAAGTCAGGCCCTAAGAGAAGAAACAGATGATCCAGGTACCATCTCTTGCAGAGACTGGAATTTCCCAGCAGTTTGGGAACCAGATACTTCATTGGTTCCCAAGGTCAGGTCAGGAGACTGATAGGTTCTAATCCCAGCACTTAAAGAAGCAACACTTAATAACTCTGAAGTCTTTCAATAGTATTTGTGTTTCATTTCTCACCAGGGATAAGTTTACTGGTCCAAATTCTATCCTAAGGAGGATTACTACTGGTGTGTTAAGCTAACATCTTTTGGTCTGAAAAAACAAATGGATTTTAGGCAGAAAGAAACTTTAGCAAAGGTAGGTTAAAGCACAGAAAGCCAGAGAGACCAGAAATAAGTCCAAATGTGCTGGGGAGGAAGAGTACCATTTCTACTAGGACTTCTGGTTGGTGAAACACAGGCAAGCAACTTAGGGGGATGAGTAGGGTACAGTAGGGAAGAAGATATGGTCCAAGTTCTGGAAAGTCCTCTCTTCATCAGTTACCATCATCACCTAAGACCACTGAAACAGGGACTTGCCCATGCAATCTGTACCAGTTCTCACTGACCTGGGCTCCGCCGGTTAAGAGGAGCACCTCCATGGCAAGACAGGCATGCCCAGAAGTGACATAGCATCTTTGCCTGCCCCGGTCTTGGGAATACTGCAAATTTTCTTGTTAGCCTGCCCCTCTGCAACCTGGCCAACCCTGAGCCCAGACACTTGGCGCTATGTCCCTATAAGGCACACT